CCCTGAAGTGCCGGGCGCGGTGGAGGAGGCAGGGTGGGAGGGAGTGGAGCGGATGGAAGGGCCAGCCCCGCCAGAACGGCCTCCGTCGGGCTGGGGCCGGAGGCACGCCCTGGCTGGTTCCTCATGGAGCCCTCTGGTTTCTGCATCTCATACTTGGATGAGGAAGCTGAAGCACAGGAAGTAGTTAAAGTGACTTGCCAAAAGCCACACAAGCCTGTGGGAGAGCCAGAGTCCAGAATAGGGCTGGATGGCGGCGGGCGGAGGCTGCCTCTGCTCGCGCCTGCCTCCAGAGTTCGCTGGGGGGATTGAAACACTGAACTCGCTAGCATGGGCAGTGTGCTGTTGGCTTCTTCAGTCCAAGTTCGCAGCAGGATTGACTTAACGAGCTGAATATCAGATCCCTTGTTCAGAGGCGTGGGGCGTTTAGTACGTCGTTCTGAACAAGGCCAGCCAATGGCTAAGGACGACGCGCCCTGGCCTCGCGGTGTTGATGGAACATGAATACAGGCAGCACTTTTCCTTGAAGCTTCGTGCTGGCCAGAAATGAGGAAGCCACGAGGCCAAGCGCGCCTTTTTCCCACGAGAGCGTCAGGGCGGGCCTGCGGCCTGGGCCTCGCTGGCGCCTGTTGGTCAGCCTGTTGCCGGGTGGCAGGAACTCCAAGACAGAACGTGCACCCACCCACGCAAAAGCCCCAGCAGCCAGGAGTTCATGGGCTCGTGGCGGCTGTGCTCCTGGCTCAGGGTCCCACAAGGGCACAGGTGCCCGTCGGAGTGCCTTGCCGGGGCGGAACGGCGGCTTGAGGACCGCTCCCAAGTGCCAACTCTGCCTGGCGAGCCGACTGCCTCCCCACGTGGGCCTCTCCTCAGCTGCTTGGAGTGCCCGGGCGTGGCCTGGCTTCTCTGGGAGCGAGTCCCCGAAGACAAAGGCCAGAAGGAAAGGCATGCGGGGGTCCTTCGTGCCAGTCTGGAAGCAAACTGTCGTTCCCACTGTCTCTGTCCGTGGGAAGGCAGTGTAAGCCCTGCCTTTGACGCATCAGAGAGTGTTGATGGACGGTTTTAAAACTGTCACGCGCCGACTCAGCCACAGCCCTCGGCCCCTCCAGCCCCAAGCAGGCAACTCCCAGAACTGGTTTGGCACCTCTGCCCCTGAGTTTCCAGGTACCACTGATTAAAGCATGTTTGCCTTGTTTTTTTTTTTTTGAACAGAGTCTCACTCTGTTGCCCGGGCTAGAGTGCCATGGCGTCAGCCTAGCTCACAGCAACCTCAACTCTGGGCTCAAGCATCCTCCTGTCAGCCTCCTCCTCAGCCTCAGCTGGGACTACAGGCATGCGCCACCATGACGGCTATTTTTCTATATTTTGAGTTGCCAATTAATAGAGATGGTTCTGCTCTTCTCGGGCTTTGATTTCATCTGACCTTTGATCAATGCCGCCCACCTGGCCCCGTAGGAATGTCGGTAGATTACAGGCGTGAGCCCCACAAAGCGCCTGGCTGCCTTGTTATTTTGATACCAAACTAGGGCTGTGTCTTAAGCCCCAGAATCAATCCAGGGCGGGGGCCAACTCAGAGACGTCGGATACTGGGTGGTCGGCGGCAGCTGTGAGGCCTTTACCTGAGTGGTGGCCCTGTGCCCTCGAGACCACAGCCGACGGCTTCACAAGGGCCTGTTTCAGCTCCAGTGTGTTCCCTTCAGGCCATTGCTGGGAGAACAAGGAGAAGCTGCGCTTTGCCATCAGCCCAGCGTGCCGCGTCCCCACGACAGTTGTTCAGGTGTGTGGCCCCTTCTTGCACTGCTGGAGACCCGTCCCTTGGCACTGTCTCCCACGCTCAGCGTGAGTGAAGCTGGGCCCTGGCCGCGTGCATCTGGGCTGTGGTGAAGAATACCGGGCCACAGATCTTCGATCACGGAGTGGCTGGTGGAGGGAGGGGGGCGACGCAGGGTCCAGAGAAGCAGATTTAAACTCACCCTTGAAAGTTAAAATAGGAGTAGGCCGTGAAATGCTGGCAGCGGGCACCTCTGGGCAGAGGCATCAGCGCTGTGGGGCCCCCTGCCGTCCTGCAAGACGTGGGGTCAGTGTCCCCAACTGCCCACACGGGGCTGCTCTGCTCGCTGGGTCCGCTGTGCTCGATTTGGTCCGGGGAACGCAGGACGCACGGCCAGCCGCTCCCAGGGGAGCCTGTGGGCTGTGAACGTGCCAGGCACCTCGAACAGGTGCCCGCGCTGCGGAGGGGCCTTCCCAGGAGTCTGCAGGTGTGCGCTGGTGACTTTCAGCAGGTCCAGGCCAGGCCCCTGCGGAAGCAGTGCTGTGTTTTGCAGAGAGAGGTGGGGCAGAGCTGCGCCCATTGGTGCAGAGCAGGACTTCGGGCAGGTCCCACTGCGGCCCGGGCTGAGGCTGGCTCTACCCCCTTCCACCAGGTGCCGGGGTCTCCTAACGCTGGCCCCAGCCAGGGCCCCGGGGCTCTGCTGAGACTCGGTCTGGCTGTGACCCCTGCCCAGCCCCTCTCCACCTGCTTCCGGGCCAGAGGCCTCACAAGGCCACGTGCGCATGTCCGTGTGAGATCGGCAGTGTCCGCCCCGTCCTCTTTTGTTCTCTGTGGGAAGAAAGAACTAGCATTAAACACCAAATGGTCCTTTTAATCCTCACAGCAAATGTGAGGCAGACCCCGTGGTCCCGTCCTAAGATGGGAGCCTGGGTGCAGGGCTATGCATTGCCCCAGCCCTTGGCAGGTCAGCGGAGGAGCTGGGCCTGGCCCAGTCCGTCCCGCATCGTGACAGGCGGGAGTCCCGCCAGGGTCCTGTGCTCAGGGCCAGCTCAACTCACCACGTCCCCACAGGGTCTACACGGACATGCAGCAGGTGCTCAGGGCCCTCCACCCGCGCTTCACCTTCACCCAGAGCGAGGCGGACGCCGACATCCTCTCAACTTTTCCCACTTCAAGGACTACAGTGAGGGTGCCTCCAGCCCCGCCCCGCACCCACACCCGCCCACCCCTGACGGCCGACCTGCGCCGCCGCAGGAGCTCAGCGAGAGCCGGGCGTGCTGCTGAACCAGTTCCCTGCGAGAGCCTGCTGACCGTGAAGGACTGCCTGGCCTCATCGCGCGCCGGGCCGGGGCCGAGGGTCCCCCTGGCTGGCCCGAACCTTAAACCTGCCGCACTGAGCTGCCCCAGTTTATTCAAGCTACTTCAGCAGCGGGAGCGCGTAAGCCGGTGCGGATCGGACGGTCCACCACGTCCCACCGCCCGGGTCCCCATCTCTGCCGTGCCCAGCCTGCCCCAAGCCAGCGCCTGCGGGTCCAGGCTGTGGCACGGGACCGGAGGCTTCTTCTGGGCTCTGCTGGGCTGCTGCTTCCCCAGAACGCAGCTCCCTGGACCCTGACAGTCCCGACTTCCTCCCGAGGTCCCCCCCCAGTGCTGCCGGTCCTGGGGCGGTTTTCCTGGGAGGACAGCCCCGGGTGCAACCGGCAGCCCTCCGCTCCCCAGGGGTGAGGACAACCACCTGATCTGCAAGCCCTGGAACCTGGCCCGCCAGCCTGGACAGCACATCACCAAGAGCCTCCACAGCATCGTCGGCACCGGAAGAGCACCAAGGTGCCCAGGGCGCTCGCTGGGAGGGTGTTGCGATAGGCCATGTGGTGGGAGCCTGGGGAGGAGGGTGTGCAGTGACCTCAGCTGGGGCTGGAGCCTGGTGTCTTGACGCCGCCCCCTCACCCCACCCCTTCCACCTGTGCCGTCGCCATCGGGAGCGAGCCACCGCACAGTGAGGTCCCAAACTGTGCACTTGGGTCCCCTGCTAGCAGACTGGCCACAGAGGGCCCGGCCGGCCGGGTGGCAGCACAGACGCAGCCGTGACCTTAGGAGTCTGTCAAAAGCGTCAGTTCTGTGGCCGGCCACCCCAGGCTGGGCAGGGAGAGAAACTGACTCCCCTGCAGCAAGATGCCACAGTACGTTGGTGCTCTGACAAAAGAGCCACGACCTGCGGGTGTATGTACGTCCATAGGGGCCACCGTGACATGTTGTAAGCCTCACTGTCAACAGCTTGAGCTCCGCCTTTTGATTTCTCCTGCCTCGCTCTGTGGGACTTTGGTACCCTCACCTTCACTACCCGGACTCTCCCCAGTCAACTCCAAATGGCCAATGCCGACTAATTCTGGCTTCTGATGCATTCTGTTTTTTTTTTTTTGAGACAGAGTCTCACTCTCTTGCCGGGACTAGAGTGCCATGGTGTCAGCCTAGCTCACAGCAACCTCAAACTCCTGGGCTCAAGC